ACTTTTGTTTTTGAAACCTCCTCATAGCTACCCTGTGAAAAGTGGCGTCTCATTGTGGTTTTGATTTGCATTTCCCTGGTGACTAATGATGTTGAACATCTATCTCCTCACATGCTTACTGACTACCTGTATCGAATTTTCTGGGGAACTGCAACCTCAGATCTTGTACCCATTTAAAAAGCTTGGTGCTCTGATTATTTGGTGCATCACCTTTTTACTTTTTTTTTTTTTTTTTTTTTGGTTTTTCGAGACAGGGTTTCTCTGTGGCTTTGGAGCCTGTCCTGGAACTAGCTCTGTAGACCAGGCTGGTCTCGAACTCACAGAGATCCGCCTGCCTCTGCCTCCCAAGTGCTGGGATTAAAGGCGTGCGCCACCATCGCCCGGCTGCATCACCTTTTTAAACTGTACAAATAAATACCATCAATTATATAGTCTGTGGGCAGTAAAATTCACCCAGAGAAGAGTGCAGTGCAGTGCATGTGGTAGATGTGGAAAGGGAACATGGGTGACGATGCCACAGTGCCTGTCACCTCTGTTATTTCAGTACATTTGTGATATGGACTAGGTATCTTTATTTGATGTATTAGTTTTAAAAACTCCTAAAACTCTTAGTTTTTGTCAAATATTAAATAAGATAAAATAATTTGATACATAGTTGAATAAATTATTCATCGCAACAACCGAACATCATAATTTTCAGTGCAAATGCAGACAGAACCAAGTCATAATAGCAAAATTCACTGATTTGCTCAAGCACAACTAATTCGAAATTTTAACTCTATGTATACTTAATTATTGAAAACAAGTTGCAGAAGTTTACCTAAGCTCTCATTTGATAAATGAGAGGCCAGAACTACTTTTTCTTTCTGCAAAATTTGTTCTCTTGCACAATAACAATGACGAAAATAAATGGCACCAAATTTTTGGCAAGTCCCGTTTAATTCGGCATATAATTAAAATCTCATGTAGCCTTATTGGTTTTAGTATCCAGCAGAGAGAAAATATTGAAACTCCAAGAGATTTTGAATTAAATGGCTACAGCAGTTTTGTTTTATTAGTTCTGACTGTGTGAAAAAAAATCATAAGGACAACTTTGGAAAAACTGAGTTCTTTTAGAGCCCCAAATGACTTTTAAAACAATAAAACAAACTATAAACCCTACACAAGTGATATTAAAATTATGCAGTTCAAGAAATGTGGCCTTCACAAATGTGGTTGTAATCTTTTTAACTACAGCAAAGTGGACAGGATCTACCGGGGACTGAAAAGCAGTGTTATATGGTTCAGCAGAATTAAGTGCTTCAGTTTGCTGGTGAGGATTATGTAGCTGAACTGGAATGTCAGAATCAGTGCCTCTAAGGTCTCCACCCAGGGGCTGCAGCAGAGCAAGGATGGATGCACCTTTTACTGGCAATTATTTAACAAGCGGCTATTTCCCCAGCATCTTAAGCTTCCAGAGGTTTACAGATTGGGGTCTTCTTGGCTGGTAGCTGCAACAGACTAAACTCACACCCTAAACCAATGTATTCCTGAGGAGGAGACTGAACAAACCATTGGGAAATACTCTACGAGCAAGAATAGTTCCCTGCTAGTTCTTGGGTATTCAAATACAATTTCTGAAGACACATTTGAACTTCAGATAATACTGGTCTTTACTTAATCCCCAGAATCTAGAACACACTGAATTCTCCACCAGGCCAGGTAACAAGAGTCGTAGGTGGTAGGATCACCTAGGGAGGCAAGAGTCTGTAAGAACCTGCCCCCAGAGGTTCCCAAAGACAAGACACTAATGAAATTGTATATAGGCCTAATGAATAACTAAAAACCAAACCAAAATTAGAAAAAAAAATTCTTGAAAATTGAGTGGTACCAGGTGTGGTGGCTTAGGCTTGTAATCCTAATTATTTCAGACACGGAGGCAGGAGGCTCTCAAGTTCACATTCATCCTAGACAACTTAGCAAGACCCTGCCTCAAAATACAAGAGGGGAGGCTGGAGTTGTGACTCAGTTGGTAGGGTTTTCCCTCTAATGCGCAGGCAGCCCTGGGTTTGATTCTTAGTACTGCACAAACTGGGAGTAGGGTGTGCCTGCAACCCCAGGACACCGGGAAGTGTCGGCAGTGAGATGAAGTTCAACACCTTCCTCTGGTCCCACCAAGTCCCAGTAATCAAACTCGGGTCATCAGGCTTGGAGGCGAGTGTCTTCACCCACCCAGCTGTCTGTGGCACAGTGCTTTAGGTTCTTTAATATATAAAACTATACTTATTCTTTCCCAGTTTTTTATACTCAAAGCTACAGTGAAGTTAAAACTAAAGCACAACAAAACCCCATGTGTTCTTCACCTAAACTCGCCAATTAGTATTTTTATTTGGTTTACCTTTTTATGTATACATACATACATACATACATATATATATTTATAGTTGTGTACATATATCTAAGTATGATGTGTATAATGAACTACTGGAAGGTGCATCATGATCATATCCTTAAATACTTCATTTTGCATCTCTTAGTATGGGTTTTCCAATATTTAACTCACTATGCGAAAATCACACCTACCATAGAACCACTGAAATACTGCCGTCTACATATGTATTTTATTTCTCCTTTTACCCCAAGTCCAAAAAATCCTCTAAGACCTTATCAGAATCCTCATCTTCAACGTTTCACTCAATAGTTGTGTGTCTTTCTTGAATGAATTATTTCCCAAATCAATAAAGCTTTCTACATTAAAATTTATCTCATTGTTATTGTGTATGATGTGTTTTGTGGGCATTCATGCCATGGTGCTCCAATGGAGGTCTCTCTTTCCATCTTTTCTGTTTGTTTTGTTTCATTTACAGACAGAGTTTCTCTCTGTAATAGCTCTAGCTGTCCTAGAACTAGCTCTTGTAGACCAGGCTGGCCTTGAACTCACAGAGATCCACCTGCCTCTGCCCCTAGAGTGCTGGGATTAAAGGCACGTGCCACCACCTGTTTTTTTTTTTTTTTATGTGGGGTCTGGAGATTGAGGTCAGGTCTTCAGGTTTGCAGCATAGGGAGGCAATCTTTCATAGGCTGAGCCATCTCACCAGCCTCAAATATTTTATATTTGCTCTGGCATTCCTCCAGTTTTCCCATACGCCATTCCTTTATTTTACTTGAATTCAGTGGACTTAGAAATTGTCATAATTTATTATATACTTTCTGAACCTCATTATTGTGTATAACGTGTGCCACGGCAAGCGTATGGTGGGCAGAGGATAACTGTGAATCAAAACTCAGGGTCCCAGCTAGCACCTTAAGTCGCCCCAAGTTGCCCAAGGGAAGCCCCTTTGAGTTGTCTGTTTTCTTCCCACGGTGTCTGGCACAAGATGTTTTGAAGCTCACCAGAAGCACACATGGTTCAGTTCTCGAGGTCTTCATAATTATTCTCTTCCAGCCCCATCCCTCTCTTGATGGGGAGTCAGCTGTCACTTTCCTTCTTCGTTCATGTAACAGAGTGAACACATGGAGATATAGTCTTCCTAGCTCTCAAGGATTTAACTCAAATAACAGCGCTTCATACTCAGTGGTTTGTCTGTGCTTGTAGCTTTTGTCTGTCAATTATTTTGAAAGGTGTCGGTGACTCCATCCCCAAGCAGTTAGGAAACTTTATGGCAAGTCTCAAATGTTTCAGATGAGAAAAGCCCATGGCAATAAACTGACCCAGGCTGCATTAGGTACCCGCTCACAAGCTGTTCTAACACCCTAGGCTTGTTGACACCTACTTATCTTCCAAACATCATTTCCTTAGGGAAGACTTTCCCTTTCCTTTCTCAAAGCGACTCTCTCCTTTCCCCAAAATTAGGGGTTGTCCCCTAAGGTTTCAGACCATTAGGCACGATTTCTCCCTAGTATATATGTTACTATATTTATATATTCATTTTGTTCCCTGCTTCCATGAGGATACGGACTACCTCTCTCCTTTGCTAATGACACACAGTAGTAGTTCAAGAAAAAAATGTGTGATGTGAAACTCGAACCCAGGTCCTCCAGCTACCCAGTTTCCCCCCCTCTTTTGGATCAGTCCCGGAGCAGCTGAAGATGGAATTCCAAAGGGTAAAATTTAAAATCTCAATAGAAAAAAGTCTATTAATAAAAAACCTTAGCAAAAACTGCCCAACTTAAGGTGTGGTCACCGCAGGAGGACGTCAATCAAGAAAATGCCCCTTTGCCCCAGAGGCGAGTGAAGCTGCATTGGGCCTGAGGCCACACTGAGCAGCGCGCTACGACTTTCAATAGAAAACACGTGTAAAACCTCAGAGCCCGGCTGCGCACAGCTGTGTCATTCAGGGCCCCGGGACAGAGGTCTCCTCCCGCTCCCCATAGGATCGAAGAACACTGCACAGCCTCTGCCGGGCGCCGTAAGATCCAGGTCTTGCCTTGATTCCCATCGGGAGCAGATTCTGCCAGCAACGAGCGGTTCCCAGGTGGAGAATCTGGAGCACCTGCAGCCTTGCCGTCAGTACCCATCTGGGACGCAGCCAAAGCCTAGGGTCTTCTCGTTAGAGCTTTGAGTAGCAGAGGGGCCCGCACTACACAGTGCCACCGTTACCCCAAGGAGCGCAGCCTCCGGGGAGGTTGCTCTGGCGTGCCAGAGGTGCCCTCCTGCCGGCGACCTCCTGGCCAGCCGAGTCCCATCGCTCCTCCGGGGGCCAGACGCTGCCTGAGTTTCCGCAGTGGCGCCTTCCCTCTGGGATCCGCGTTCTTGGCACATGCCTTGTGCTCACCTCTTCGACGGTCGCAGTCGGACTTTCGGTGCCTGGCACTCCGGGGGGACAGCGGGACACCCTGGAGCAGGGTCCCCAGAGCTCCGCGGCCCGCTTGTCTCGGGGGCGGGAGCTGGGCCGACGGGGGCGGGTCGGGCCAGGGGCGGAGGCGAGTCCGCGGCCCGCGCCATTGGCCGCAGGGCCTGGCGGCAGGAAGGGACCCGAGCGCGGCCCCACCCCGAGGCTGCTGGAGCCTATCGCCGGGAGCGCGGAGCGCAAATAAATGTAGCGCGGTGGCGCGGGCGGGCAGCTCTGTCCGTGGGGCTGCGGTGCAGCCATGCAGTTCCCGCACCCGGGGCCCGCGGCTGCGCCCGCCGTGGGAGTACCGCTGTACGCGCCCACGCCGCTGCTGCAGCCCGCTCACCCGACGCCCTTCTACATCGACGACATCCTGGGTCGCGGGCCCGCCGCGCCCACGCCCACCCCCACGCTGCCATCTCCCAACTCCTCCTTCACCAGCCTCGTGTCCTCCTACCGGACCCCGGTGTATGAGCCCACGCCGGTCCACCCCGCCTTCTCGCACCACCCCGCCGCCGCGCTGGCCGCCGCCTACGGTCCCGGTGGCTTCGGAGGCCCTCTGTACCCCTTCCCGCGGACGGTGAACGACTACACGCACGCCCTGCTCCGCCACGACCCCTTGGGTAAGGCGACCGGGGTCTGCGGGGCCGAGCGCGGGCGTCCGTGAGGAAGGCGGGGTGGCAGCGGGCGGGTGGCGGCGGGGACGGACGGGAGCTGCTGGAGAAAGTTGCGGCGAAAGCTCTGAGCCGGCGACTCGCGGGTGCGCGCGGGGACAGGAGGCGCGGGGCCCCCGGTGGCGCGCTGCCGGCGCTGGGACGCTCGGCGACTCTGATTGCTTTCCCTGCACCTTGCAGACATCGGGGCGAGCGAAGTCGGGAGAGGCCTGGAACGCCCGGGGTAGTAGTGAAAGGCAGCCCTGGCCACGCGTGTCGGCCCGGGTGGGGCTCCCTTAGCGGGCGACACCGGGAAGAGGACGTCGGGGCGCCCCGAGCCTGGCCCCTGCAGCACAGGGATAGCTGGCGGGCCGGGCGGTTCCTGGGCTGGGCTTGGTTCAACAAGCTTGTGTAGTGAAGGAGCCTGACCCTTTCCGTTCATACAGGAAATCTTGAGTTCTCGATAGGAGTAAATCTGGTTTCTGAAGCTGTTAAGTGTTTTCCTGGCTGCATGAAGCAGACCCTTCCCCCGGAGTAGTGCACGCTGCTGATTATTTTATCGACATCCTCAATACAGACAAATTCAGGAAACACTCGACGTCTGATAGGCAGGATCCGTTTTTCTGATATTGTTCATTTCCTCTGTGTGGGATGTGACTTTATGGCAGCTAAAATAACCAGTTGCTTCCTCTCGGCTCCCCCCCCCCCCCCCCACTTTGGAGGCTGTTTTGCACTAGTCTGAAGCCTGACGCAAGCAAAATCTCGAAAAAACAATGCCAGCTTTCGGAATGTTTAGGTTTAGGCCCGAAGACAGAAGGACGGACATACGGACGCTCCGCTACCACTTTGGAGTAGGAAGGTGCAGACCCCGAACAGTTAGGAAGGGTGGTGGAGACAACGCTGACTGCGTGGGATTTTCGGGGCTGGTCCCCGCAATGTTCCTAAGAAATACATAAGCAACGGTGACGGAGTTCGGGGCCTGAGTCCCTTGTCGCCTGCGCGGTCCGATGCCCCAGAGCGAATAAGGACCAGGGTTTAAAGTAAACACCCTGGCATTTTCGCTGGGAACCTAGGAGAAATTAACATTTTAATGAATTAGCATTTTAATGCCAGCATTATTTTGACGTAGTCTCCTGCGCTCCCCTCATCTCACCGCTAAAGGGATTCGGGGTGTGGGTTTTATATAATTTTGTACTTTAAAAGTTATCATATTTGTATTTTTAAAATTTCAATCTGCAGGGTGTGTGACCGGCGCCCCACTCTATCCCCTGTGGGGCAGGAACGGCCCTGGGGCAAACGTTTTCACAGAAATCGCCTTGGTTTCCTTGGGTTTCTGCTGGGCCTGAGCAGAAGGAAGCTTTTTTTTTTCTTTTTTTTCTTTTCTTTTTTTTGAGACAGACCAACAGGAAACACATTGACGGAAATGTTGCCATAGCCCACGGGGTGGCTTTAACTGGCCGCCCCCGCAGGCCGAGTGTGAAATCAGAGGAGGCCGAGGTGTGCTCCAGCCACGATTGGAGGCCCCACTCGAGGCCTAACACGAGCGCCCTGCTAGCGCTTCTGTGCAACCAGGCCTTGGGAAGTGTAACAACCCCACTGCCCCCTTAAATGCGCACACTGGATCCTTTGCAAAAACTTGAGTACACACAAGAGCTGGTCGCTTAAAGAAGAGCATTTTAAGCACGGCAGGGCTTCTCTCGGGGTTGAGAAGATTTGTTTGCATTTAAGCCACAGGTGTGAAGGTCGGGTAGTGCGGTGTCTCTCGTGTCTCTCGAGTGTCCGAGCTGGTTTGTGTGTTAATGCAGTTTAGCTGACTTTGTGCGGTGGTAAGGACTATTGAGTCCATCTGTACACCTGAGAATGTATGGGTTGGGAACAGGTCTGCATTTTGACCTCCTGCCTTGTGTCACCTGGGACCAAGGTAGGTCTGGGGACTGCCCAGAGGACTCTAGCTCCGTGGTTCACCCGCCATTCTTCTGGCCCACAGGCAAGCCCCTGCTCTGGAGCCCCTTCCTACAACGGCCCCTGCACAAAAGGAAAGGCGGTCAAGTGAGGTTCTCCAACGACCAGACCATCGAACTGGAGAAGAAGTTCGAGACTCAGAAATACCTCTCCCCGCCTGAGAGGAAGCGTCTGGCTAAGATGTTGCAGCTCAGTGAGAGACAGGTCAGCCCACGGGGTCCCACAACCCCAGCTGGTTTCTAGGGCTGAAGAAACCACGGTGCGGTGCGCTCTGGGCACTTTCTGCTTCTACCCAACTGTAGAACTGATTCTCGCCACATCCCCAGTCCCTTCTCCGCTCCTCCCCAGGTCTCTCGGGATCTGGAACTGTCTGTAAACTTGCTTTCTTTTCTGTAGGTCAAAACCTGGTTTCAGAATCGACGCGCTAAATGGAGAAGACTGAAACAGGTATTGACATGGCTCCGTTTCTATGGAAATAAATGTTTGTATCATGTTATCTAAATGCGGAGACCTGTTATGGGTTGTATGCAAAAGTCATTTGAAGAGACTATTTAACCTCTTCACCTTGATTAAAAAGGCAAATAGTCCTGCTGAAATTCAGGATGAGTTGCTCAGGTGGCACTAATGCTAAAAGCACCTAATGCAGTTCCTATATCAATTAGCTAGGGTTTCACACACAGGCCAGTAAACCCCTGGCTAATTGTTTTATAAACCCCATATGTTGTTTATCTCATTAACGCAGGAAAGATAAAGTAATTGACAGTAAATGACTTAAGTAGTTATCTTTGGGAGAAAATTGTTTCTTTTATTTACACAGCCATAATAAAACCAGGCAGGATTCAAGGGTAAATATAAAGACACAAACACCTTTAAGTCTTGTTTGCACTTTTTTGTAACGGAAGAATTAAATATCAAAGAGTTTAAAAATTATTATCCATCTTTGCCAGCTCTTAAAATGAATATAAAACACATAAAGAAATTGCCAGGCCTATTTGGAAAGTAGCTTAAACTTCCTAAGGAGTCTTTCAACAACTCTTGTTAAGAAATATGCAATTAAAAAAAAAAAAGTAAAGGGAGCTTTACTTTGAGTCCCCCAAAGCTACCCTGCTGACTTAGAGCTAAAGGTTTGTTTTTGAGGTTCCAGACGGGGTGTTTCCAGTTCTCGGACAACCGCTGATGACTCCTATACGCCTGGGCTTTAAATAAGACAGGATGGCTTGAAACAAAATGGCTGGCCAAGTGGGGAAATTCAGTGTAGATCTTCAATTGTATTGATCACACTTTATATTTAAAAAGGAAAAAGATGCTATCCCAAAGGACATTTTGAAACAACAAAAAGCTTCCTGTAGCTTTATTATTCAGAAGTCGTTGAGGATTCCCCTCTCATCACTGATCTTGTATGGCTTCTGCAGACTTGCTTGCTAAGGAGTACAATGTTTCTCTCTAGTGTTTGTATCCTTATTAGACACCGGTAAGCTTAAACACTCACTGACTGGACTTGGTTCTTATTCAAAGGCTTGGAGCTAGTTTCCCAATGACTTTTAAAATGGTACTTTCTATGAAATGTGGGAAACTTTTCCCCCAGGAAATTTTGCCTAGATTTTAAGCAAATTGCAATCGCTTCATCAATATTATTTGGTCCTGTTATTTTTGTTTGTCATGACCTTGAGATTTGGTACATAGTTACATGTATATGTGCTCATAAATTACTTCAGAAGACCAACAGAAAAGGATTTTAATCTATAATTTCAAAGCTTCTTAATTTAGTATATGCTTTTCTTTTTCTTTTCTTTTCTGGGAGGGGGGGTGGGCCTTGGTATAACAAACCAGCCATTAACATTTGTTCTTTAAAATGCTAGAAAATGCGGTGAGGGCAATATTTAAAGAGCAGCGACAGTTTAGCCTGGACTGAATGGAGTTTGTTTTTTTTCTCCTAAGCTGAAAGTCTTGAGATCATGGACCTGAGTTACATATAATCTCCCTCTGATGTGATTTCTCCCTCTAATTTCAAATGGGGACAAGAATCACAAGTGTGTCTTCTTAGGAAAGAGATTTTAGATGAAAACAGTTGATAACCTAAACTTTGTAAGCAAGCTAAAGGCTGGGGGGAAATCCATTTTATTTTTATGTCTTTGATCTCACGTCTGCATTTTCATTCCCTTCTTTCAGGAGAACCCTCAAAGCAATAAAAAGGATGAGTTGGACAATTTGGACGCTTCCTGTGGCCAGGGCCAGGACTCGCCTAGTGAGCAGAGTAAAGGCGCCTCTCTGGATACTTCTCAGTGTTCTCCTTCCCCTGCTTCTCGGGAGGACTCCGAGATCTCAGAGGATTCGGACCAGGAAGTGGACATTGAGGGTGACAAAGGCTACTTTAATGCTGGATGATGGTCACCGGCATCGTCCAGACACTGGACTTGCGGATAATGTTTTGCTACAAACTGGAAGACTATGGGAGAGAAAAAGAATGTCATTCTTGTAGTGTTCTGAAACTGTTTAGTACACTGGCATAATTAACAAATATGCATTGAAACCTTAATTTTGACTTTGCAGATCCTATATATATATATACATATATATATGTATATATATATATACACATATATATGTATATATATACACACACACCAGTTTTAAGTTGCTTTGATGAAGTGGCTTAATGCATCCCCATTAATTTCTATTTATGAGAAGTAATTTGAACTTTCATTTAAAACTTAAATTATAGCTTTAAAGGTTTTAATAGGCTGTGCTTGAATGACTTTTCCTAAATCTGTGGCCATACCCTCAGACTTCAGAGGGTCACTTAGAAAGGGGGCCCACATTTGTGGCTTCTTGGAGCAGTTTAAAAGGACACACTCGACTTGTACATAACACCTTACATTGCTGCCTTAGCTCCAGTGCCGTTCCCGAGCTCCTGGCTCCAGGAGTGTGCTCTTATAGGCAAGATAGTTGATAAGGTTCTGAAAATCTTGTTTTGCTCACCCAGTGCCTTTGTTAAGGGAGGGCACAGTCGGACAGTCAGGGAAACTTACTCGACTCCTTTGTGACTGCAGGTAATCCCATGTGAACTACAAACTAGCAGGACAATTAAATGTAAGTAGATTGTAGATAGTGTGTTTTATAGAAACAATGTATAGCATGTATATAGAATTATCCCGTGTAAAAATCCTGCCAAAATGATGTTTGATTTTTTAAAGAACTTTTTTACTTGATGAGTTAACTTTCGTGACCCTGTTGGAATCTCTCATTCTTTTCTTGAAAAGGCCTAAACACATTACTTGAATGGCTTTGGGGTATGTGTGTGTGCTTGGCACAGGGCTAGGGGTAGGGGGCCCCATGGGTGGTGGGGTGCCCATCTCCTGGAGTGTGAATTTGAGTTTTCTTAGGAGTGTTAGCTGGAGCAGATGTGTGTGTTGGGGACCGAGCAGGGCAGGTTGGAGCTGCTATGAGCAGTGCCATCGATTGGTGTGTGTGGCCACTGGCCTTGACCAGCATGAGTCAACAGTGCAGCACCCTCACTCTGTCGGGAGCCGGGAGCCGAGCTCCCGTGCTTTGTGCGGGGCAAGGAAGGGTTTGGAGGAGCAGGAGATTTAGAAACTCTGGGAAGGTGAAAGTCAGCGGCCTAGAGAGAAACTGAGTGATAGCCGCTGCTCTGAGGTGCTAGCTGGTGTGAGACCCACGGGACCAGCACTCCGCCTCATATCACCCCCCCCCCCCACTACCACCACAGCTTTCCCTTTGGTAACTCCGGCCAGTGTTGGGGACAACAGCCAGAAGCAGGAAGCATCAGGAATCTGGTGGCTGGGAAGAGTGGGTAGGAAGAGTGCTGGCAGGTGGTGCGGCCCTGGGTATTAACCTGCAGCCTGTCTAGAGAGCCCAGGTCTGACAGGTCTCCCACAGAGATCTGAGGAGAGGCCCAGCTTGGCCTCTGTGGAGTCTTTTAGTTGTATAGGAAAGAGCCTGTTATAGAATCCGTCCAAAGAAATCTGTTGCTCCCCATACGTAGACATCCAGGAGAAGATGGGTTCTCACACCCTGCCTCCTGAGAGTCCAGGAAGGTCATGGAATTGCGGGTGAATCCGGTTTCCAGAAAATACTGAGCACTGACTACTCTTTTGGCAGAGGGCAAGGGTAGGCCTGGGAGCTTAAAGGTCTACGTTGTAATTTTAGTTCTTTGTCTCAGAACTTTGAGAGAACGTCCCAATTGAGCTACGTGCCCGGCTCCAGGTCCCCCAGTCCCAGCTCAGTTCATGCACTGCCTGATTCTCCCCTCGCATGGGTGTCAGAGCCCAAAGGAGCCATCCAGAGGGAGGCCCCTAGTTCTAGACCTGCCTAACAGGTTACATGAAGTTTCAAAGGCCATAGTCGGTCTGCTCTGAAAGTGGGACTGTCTGTATCCACGTTCTGGAGAATGAGGCATTTGAATGGAATTAAAATGATCCTGAAATCTCTGTGTTTCATTGCTGGAGATAACCTCTGGGTAATGTTTACTTGCGGGAGGAACTGGATTGTGACTGCTAGGCAGAAGGTCAGCAGCTTCTGTATTGATTGACACTAGAAAAAGCTAAGAGGTGAAATCTTGTTTTAAAGTGGACAATTCGCTGAAAGTGTGCTGTTTTCCCATTGGAAGCTAGCCCAGGTTCCCTTCAAGTAGCTCCGGTTCTGATTCTATACATGCCCTTAAGACTTGAGCATGTTGGTTGGAGGAGGCACAGCCTTCTCAGGACGCAGGTTAGCATTAACTTCAGAAGGTGCTGTTACAGACTGCCCATGGATATTTACAGACTCTTCCTACAATCCAGACATTTTTTTCCCTTGTTTGTCCTTTGGCTGTTTCACGTCGGAGCAGCATAGATGACCTTTATGGCACAGCTCCTCTCTTGTTTTTTAACTCTTTTTTTTTTAATCAGGAGATTCAACTTGAAAAACGGTTATCATTTAGCAGAAAGGCAAACAGAAAAGCACATTTTTGTAAGCACAACGTTAATGATTGGAAGAATTGTCCTAATTTCACCATGGCAGTGTGTGATTAATCCCCTGGGTCGTGTACTTATACTTTAAGTTATTCAGTTCATTGCTCTTTGATATCCAGAATGCTACCTAACTTAATAGGGTATTGATCTCGCTGGATGATGTACTTTGACTCTTTACACAACATCACTTTTGAGGATGACTAGTCTGTTGCGTACTATTTTATTTAGAGAACAGTTGCGTAAGATTTCTTTTTTCTTTTTATGGTTTTGCTAAGGGTGAAAACTGATAAGACATCTTGTGGGAAAAGCAGAAACCATCGCTGATAGTGAAAGTACCTGTTCTCTCTCAGCATCTCTGACGCTCTTTCGTTTGTGGTCTTATCACTGTGAATATTCAGCTTGGTTAAAATGTGGACAGGACAAGGATTCAACTATTTCGGTTGGGGGTGGGGAAGTGCCCTTAACTAGGGATGGAAAACTCCAGAATTTCCACTCTAGCCGTACTGCCTGTGGAAATGATTTCTCTTTAAAATCCCATAATTTGTGATCCAGTGAATCTGTGACTGGAGGTTTTATACACACAGGAGCATGTCTCTCTCTCTCTCTCTCTCTCTCTCTCTCTCTCTCTCTCTCTCTCACACACACACACACACACACACACACACACACACACACTGAACAACAGAATGTGGAACACCAACACCAGCCACCCTGGATGCCATCACGTGGATAGGAGCTTATTATCTTGTGGTCATGATAATCACACACTGTACTAACATTTACTCTTCATCCGCTGGTTTTTTTTTTTTTTTTTTTTTGGTTTTTCGAGACAGGGTTTCTCTGTGGTTTTGGAGCCTGTCCTGGAACTAGCTCTTGTAGACCAGGCTGGTCTCGAACTCACAGAGATCCGCCTGCCTCTGCCTCCCGAGTGCTGGGATTAAAGGCGTGGGCCACCACCGCCCGGCTCGCTGGGTTTTTTTGAAACCCCAGGTGGACTCTGTAAGAGCCCAGTATATAAGTTTGTTCCTTGATTTTTTTTTTTTTTTGTATTGTTATCTAAACACAGAAGCACTTGGCAGATTCCTTATCATAACTTCAAGGTCCACAGAACAACAGCTTCTGAGGTGGCTTAGTAACCTGGAGGCAGGCAGGCGGAGTCCCCTCCCAAGCTGCCTGGGGATCTGTATTCTAGCCTCCAGCCCTTTGGTTGCCGTACTTGGGAGGAGGCGTCAGTACCTGGAGCCCAGTGAACGCCACAGCCCGCAAACCCCCGGAGTCTAGGCCGCAGCCCAAATCTTCAGAAGTTGGACACACAAATCTCTTCAGACTGAGACGCTGTAGGAAGGAGAACTTGGAGCTGCCATTTCCTGTCTGCAGAGGATCATGACTTTGGAGCATCCGGTGGCCACCGCGAGCTTTTCGAGGCTGCCCACGGTTTTCCTGCACAGCTCTTATCTTTCTTTTCCCTTTTCTAGGGGGAAGGAGGAGGTCATTGATCACTTAGAGTCATTTTTTTTCAGATGAAAACCTGTGAGAACGGCTTTCTATTGTAGAAAGTTTAGTCAATGTGTTATTTTCCTAATCCCTTTTCATTTGAAAGGGGAGTGCCATTACAAAAACAACAGCAACAATTAAAAAAAAAACCCCTTAAGATATGCAGGTGAACAAGTACAGAGGAACTAACAGTAAAGGGTCCCCTCCCAGTATTCAAAAGTACTTGTAGGGAGAGAGGCCTGTTGGGCCTGTCTCAGCCTTTATATTTTTATATATTGTATAGCTTAATCATAACCTTCCATCTTTTCTCACACTTTCTGTTTTTGTTCTTATTCATTCTCCCACACCCAAGATGCTTTATACTTATTTAGTTTATTTTTCCATTAAGAACAGAAAATGAATAATCTCAACTCTTTAGATGTCAGTGTAAGGGGCAATGTTTTCTTGAAATTTGTATGAGCGTTCCTCTTTCAGCCCGGCTGAGAATGCCTTAGCTGTGTGAAGACTCAAGCAGTACCAGGGCCTCCCCAGAAGATCAACAGTAGCAGAGCTGATCGGGTCCAGGCACTTGGCACCCCTGGGGCACATGGATGCTTTGGAGAGGATGGGGCAGAGCCAGTCAGGGCTCATAATTTGAAGAAAGGAAACGGGATGCTGTCCCATAAAGAGGCTTGGCCAAGAAGTCAGGCCTGGAGGTGGAAGAGGGCAGGGAAAACGCACGACTTTTATCATCAAAGGTTTTTGGATTTTAGGATTTTGCTAAGGGATTGTAGACCCATGCTCTCTCCCGCTCTTTGCTTTTGCGTGTGCAGTTCCTCTCCCTGGAGCTCCCTTCTGCTGGGTAACCTCATGGCTGTCTCCTGACATGCACCCTGAACCCAGCCATCCTGTGTATAGCCACCAAATCCTTTTCTCTAGCCCTTCCCCAAATTTCCTTTTCTCTATTTCACCTTTTACAACAGGACACATTTTCAGGAGACGGAGGCAGGGAAGTTGAGAGTTCAAAGCCTTTCTGGCCTGCAGAAAGTGTCATAGGCCACCCTGGGCAACTTAGTGAGACCTTGCCTCAGAAATAAAAAGTAAAAAGAGGGCGAGAGGCCTAGATCCAGTCCCTCGCACCAGCAAATAAATAGTGTGAGTGTGAGTGGGTGTGTGTGTGTGTGTGTGTGTGTGTGAGGGAGAGAGAGACAAAGAGACAGAGAGTAACCTTGGAAGGCTACATATCAACTCTTGATCCTCTGTGCTGGGATTACAAGCAGGAGCCGCTATGTCTGGCTCAGGATATATATATTTTACTGAGTTAGTTAATATCAGTGAAGAGACATAAAAGAAATAACTCAGGATTTTTATCTGTTTTTTTTTTCAGGGCTGTATTTTTCTATCCCTAAAAGTAGTAAGCATTTGGAAATTGTGATTCAACAAATTGATGAACATGCGCCGGGCAGTGGTGGCGCACGCCTTTAATCCCAGCACTCAGGAGGCAGAGGCAGGCAGATCTCTGTGAGTACGAGACCAGCCTGGTCTACAAGAGCTAGTTCCAGGACAGGCTCCAAAACCACAGAGAAACCCTGTCTCGAAAAACCAAAAAAAAAAAAAAAAATTGATGAACATGCTTTAGGGGTTATTACTAGTATTGCTATTATTATTATTAACAGTCTCACTGTGTAGCCCTGGCTGCCCTGGAACTCACTATATAGACCATACTGCCTCAAACTCACAAGGATCCACCTGCCTCTGTCTCCCAACTGCTGGAATGAAAGGCGCTCACCTAAATATCATGCAATGTCTGTAAGTGTTTCTATCCTCAGGACAGCTCTATGAGGTCATTCCTGTTATCAGCCTCATTGTTTTCTGGGTAAAGAAACTGTCAGGGAGAAGAGAATCCACAGGTCTCGTGTTCTCAGTCATTGCCACAGTGGGAATCTCACTATGTTGAGTCTTCTTTGCTTGTGTCTTCCTTCCTTCTTTTCTTTTTGCTTTCTTTCTTCCTTCTTTTCTTGAGACATGATTACATGTAGCCCAGGATGAACTTGAACTGCTGGTCTTCCCACCTTCGTCTGCCCTGCGCTGGGATTACAGGTATGAGCCACTACTCTAGGCTCGATTTGTAAGTGGAGTGGGGTTTTTTTTTTTTTTTTTTTCTTTTTGACACAAGGTTTCTCCACGTAGCTTTGACTGTTGTGGAACTCACTCTGTAGATCAGGCTGGCCTTGAACTCACAGATTCACCTGCCTCAGCCTCCCGAGTGCTGGGATTAAAGGCATGTGCCACCACTGCCCAGCACGGAGTAGGGTTTTGTTGTTTATTTTAAATATCATTTGCCTTAATGCACGTCTAGAATTAAAATGTGAGGATAGGGAATTTTTGTGGGTGTAGCTCATTATTCTACCTGCTAACTAAACCGAAACAAGGACCATTTCCTTGTTTCTTGGGGGAAACGGCTGTAATAAAATACATGATCTCACTTTGAAGTACTTTAGAATGAATGTTTTAAGTTAGTATACAAAGCAATGGGTTTTATCAGGGGCTCTTCATACGTGTGTGTCGTAGTTTATTCTCATTCATTCTCCTTCCCACTCTGCTCTCCTGTGTACTCTCTTGGCTAGCCTCTTCCTTCTTTGAGTTAGCCTCCCTGTTCTTCACATTCATATCCTTTGCTCTCTCTATTCCCTTCACAACCCCTTCCTCTTTGTACTACTCACCCTCTCCCTCTCTCTCTCTCTCTCTCTCTCTCTCTCTCTCTCACACACACACACACACACACACATGCTTTCACATACATCCCCCACCCCCACCCCCTGCCCCAAAACAGGGGCCCTCTGTTACACAGCCCTGGCTGTTCTGGAACTCTATGTAGACCAGGCTGGCCTTGATCTCACAGAGATCCTCCTGCCTCAGCCTCCCTAGTACTGCACACTTTTAGTTCCAGATTCTCTGTATATAAAAACAACAAACAAAAACATTTGGTATTTTTCTGAATCTGGCTCATTTTGCTTGATGTAACAATTTCCACCTGTATCCATCCCTCTTGCAAATTAATGGTTTTATCTTCCTTTACAGCAGGGTGAAATTCCACTGATACACGTGATATATCTTCCAGAGCATTCAAAACTTGTCTGCCTCTGGTCCATGTTCTTCCATGTTCCGAACTGTATAGTGTATTTCTTTTAGGTTATCCACCACTGCGTGTTTTGCAGAAAACTCTAAACAATACAGGATAGTGGCTTCCTTCTGTTTCCCCGGCATCCAGGACTGTTTTTGGCATGTAGTAAGCTTTTAATGGACATTGTACGACAGAATGAAAGTGAAAGCGGTGTCTCTTCCCCAAAAGGTAAGAGACGCATTTTCTCCTCCCCAAGGCCAGCATCATCATCCATTTCTCATTCTTTGGCCACAGGAACAACACTTCTCCTAGATGGCTCCAGGAACACCGCAATTACTCATGGGTCCTGCTGCTGGAGAGAGGCCCAGGCTTTAGAATGGGTGGGGAGAGGACACAGAAGTCTGTAGAAGCCTAAATAAGCATCCAGAGAGCCTTCCCCATTTTTACAGCATACATTTTAAGAGGAAGTGCTTCTGTGGTTTTTATTGGCTATCTTTCCTTTCCAATTTGGCCATTTCATCCAAGGTCCAATTCACGCTTCTCAATTTCAATTGAGAGTTTTATTGAAAGTATGTCAGCTTACTTAAAAATTAAAAAAGGACA